GGACTAAAATACTTACTATCTGGCCTTTCATACAAAAAAATCTGCTGACCCACTTTCATAGCATATGTCATGAACTATGCTATATGGCTTCTACAGAATGTCTCATTTAATCATTATCGCCACTATGAATTAGGTATTATTATTCTCATTGGACGAATCAGAGTTGGTGAAGTGTAATGGATAAAAATTAGCTGTGGAGCTAGACAGACCTGCATCATGCTTCCAACTAGTTGCCTGAGATTGGGAGTACTGCTTACATTCTCCACCCTTAGTTGCCCCATGTTAAATTGGGGCAAACAACAGTACTGATTACAGTAGGCTAAATGTCAGGAGTAGATGTGACAATTAGTGCCAATGCTTTGTATATCGTAAACATTTAACACTCATTAGCTATATGAGAAAAGCTTTCAGTATCCCTGGGGTGCTCTCTTCCTAGAAATATTGTCCATTAATAAAACACTAATGATGCCCATCGTAGGGCTGTTTATAGATTAATTTGAAGGAGCCCAAAATAGTTTGCACCACAGCTCTGTGTTACATAAGGTGCCTTTCCCTCTGTCCCCCATGAATCAAGTAAAAGGAAAGTATAATAACGACATTTTCAGCTCTGCACTGCATTTCCCGAGAGAGAACTGAAGGTGCCCTACCAAGGCGGAGTTTCCCACGAGAACATGCAAGCCAGCCAGCCCACAGGATCGACACCCCAGCGCGCCATGGATGGGCCCCAGAAGACCAAAAAGCTGCATGGAAGAAGGCACCGCTTCAAAGGCACCAAGGGAAACAACGTGAAAGCAGGGCCAAACATTGATTATGCTGCTTGCAAATGTCAGGTAGTTACAGGGCTGTTGTGAATACAGGCAGGGAAACCAGAGGTCAGAATTTCAGCTCAAAGACAGCTCTGGCTGTTGATGATGAGCAGGTTCAGGAATTGCTGTCAGGGTGCATTGACAGTGCCCATAAACAGATATATTTACAATGCATGTGCCATACACATTTCTTCAATGCCTTATAGTTCTTGTCTTTCGGTGAGCATCCAGAAGGAGGAGAGCCAGCAAAAGGAGGGCAAATACTTGGTTTTTCCTGAGTTCAGGTAACTCACAGTGGCTAGGACCAGCTCTGCTGCTCCATTTCTGACCATCTTGGTGCTATTACTGTCCTGGGGCTCCTGGCCAACTGGGTGAAAATGACTGGTGTAGAATTAAAAGCTTAAGACAAGTTTTACAAGAGCAATCTCAGGTTGAAAAAGTCAGCTAAATGATCTATTATTTTATTTCCTCTAGAAACATGGCAAAATGAGCATTCAGGTGGGTGTATCTAATTTGGAGGTCTGATTACAAACTGATGCAACTGATTTGATGTTTGTGTGTTTAATTTCTATATCCAAATTAATGTTGTTTCCTTGAGAGAAAATATTTAGAGTCTACTCATTTATTTCATTACGGAGTTGATTTCCAAGTTTGTGGCAGGTTCTTTGGAATGCCCCCGGAGGTGGCAAGACATCATCCTTTGAGGATGGGTTTCCTCTTTGGAAATAACCGCCAAATATTTAGCTCTTGATCTTGTAAATAAAGTGGGTAATCAAGTATGGTAAAACATGGTAGGTCAAAAATAAAACTTGGAAAAAACAAACCACCCAACTAAAAAATAAGCAAAGGATATGAATAGATGTTTTTCCAAAGAACATACCCAAATGGTCAATAAGCACATGAATACGTGCTCAGCATCGTTAGTCATCAGGAAAATGCAAGTCAAAGTCACAATGAGATACCACTTCACACATATCAGAATGGTTATAATCAGAAAGACAATAACAAATGTTGGCAAGGATGTGGAGCAATTGGAACCCTCCTGCATTGCTTATGGAAATGTAACATGGTACAGCTGCTTTGGAAAACAGTCTGGCAGCTCCCCAAGTGGTTACATATGGAGTTATCATATGACTCAACAATTCTACTCCTAGGAATATACCCAAGAGAAATGAAAACAGGTCCACACAAAATTTGGGCACAAATGTTGAAAATAATGTTATTGATAATAGCCAAGATTCAGAAACAATCCAAATGTTCGTCAACTAATTCATGGATAAATAAAATGTTACACTCATGCAATGGAATATTATTTGGGAATCAAAAGAAATGTTGAGACATGCTTACAACATGGGTGAATTTGAAAAACATTAGCCTAAGTAAAAGTAGCCAATAGCAAATAACATGTATTAAATGATTCCACTTAGAGGAAATGTCCAGAATAGACAAACAGAAAGTATATTCGAAGTTTCCAACAGTTGGTGATTGGGGGGAGTTGGGGGGAAATGGGGAATGACTTTAGAGGGCAATTTTTTCTTTCTTTTTCTTAAAATTGAGGTAACATTGGTTTATTATATTACATGTTTCAGATATATAACATTATAATTCAATATCTATATACACTATAGTGTGCTCACCATCCAAAGTCTAGTTTCCATCCTTCAGGTATTTTAGCAAACCTATAGCAAAAATATTTTAAGGCAAATCCAGCTGTCATTAGAACTTCTATTTTCAGTCAAAAAAAACCTTGCCAACTTTTTATGTTTTAAAAAGAAACCATTTTTTTGATAAGGCTATGGATTTTCTAAAGGCTGCCTGACATAAAATGAGCTGAACATTAGCATGTAGAGGACAAGCAATAGGAAAGGTAATATGAGTGCAGGCAAAATACCTAAAAGCTGGAGAGTGCTACCTCTCCTAAAGAGAACAGAATGAAAGGATTCAAAATGCACAGCTTTTCAAAGCCAAAGGAAGTGACAACAACTGAATTGAAAAGGCTGAACTTAGCATTACCTTCCCAGAACACAAACATATATTTAGCTTAATAGACTTGAGTACTATCTCAGGAAAAATCTTATATATTATGCATCTAGGGCAATGAAAGCTGTAGAAAATGATTTTGCAAAGCAAACAGACTTCAGGCTGACAGTAGCAGAGATAAAAAAGAGTCTAAGGCACACGTGATAAATTTAGGTCTCATTTTTTTTATATATCATCACAGGAGGAAAACAAAAGAGAGGAGGAAACCTTAGACACTAAATCGAACCTGGCAGAACGACACATATGATTGAAGCTTAAAAAAATGTGTGTGCATTTCCTGATTATAACTGTAATATGGACTTATAAGAGAAAATTTGGAAAATACAGAAAAACAAAAGGAAAAAATTAAAAGCACCCACAATCCCACCACCCAGAGAGAACAAATATTAAAATATTGGAATATTCACTTGTAGCTTGTTTTCTATTTAAATATAAAAATACGATTTTTTACAAAATTGGGCTCATATTGTAAATAAAATTTTATATATGGTCTTTTCCCCTACTTCGTATTACTTCTTGAATACTTTCTCATGTTATTACATATTCTTTGAAGATGACTGTATTATACTGGATCTTAAGAATTTTTGGTTTTATTTTAGAGAGAGGGGAAGAGAAGGAGAAAGAGAGGGAGAAAAATATCAATGTGAGAGAGAAACATTGATCAGTTGCCTTCCATACACACCTCATCCAGGGACCAAGCCCACGACCCAGGCATGTGCCCTGACCGAGAATCCAACGGGTAACCTTTTCGTTCACGGGATCATGCCCAACCAACTGGGTCACACTAGTCAGGGCTAGATCTTATGAGTTTAAGGAGAACCATTTGATTTTTTCTATATTGCTGGACCTCTAGGTTGTTTCGATCTTTCAGTATTATAAACAGCACTGCGTTGCACTTCCATGTGAGAAATCTTTGAGACTCCATTTACTTCTTCAAAGAAACTCAAATGTATATCTATGTGTCAAATTCAAATTTAAGTTACTCAGTATACCAGTACCTATAAATTTACAAGTGAAAGTCTCTGGACGCAAGTACCAGTAATGCATAACCAATAATCAATACTATTTCCTATCACTCGAAGTCTGTATTTACCCTCCAAAGCAGGCATGGTTGGGGCAGTGCATTACTTCCTGTAGGCAGATGGACTAATTACTGGGTTAATCTAAAAGCAATAACATGAAACTTGGCTGACCCAGATTTCTCCAGTATCAGTATGCATGCAATTATAACATTCTATGGATTGAAAATACCCAAGGCTCAAAATTACATCTTTTCTTATTCTTTCATTTAAAATGATACATAATGGGCATTGAAACAAAATAAAGGGTTATAAATAACTGAGGTTGATAGCAACAAAATCTTATGTAGACATACACATTCCATATAGTGTAACTTAAGGTTTTCTTTAAATTCCAGCTTTATGCTCTTGCTTCCAGTTATAGGATTCTTAAGTGCTCTCACCATACTGAAGTTATTAATGGTTCTTGTTTAGAATTATATGCTATCAACATTCCAGTTTTAAATTCCCTATAGCCTATTTTTGAAAATGGTTCTATTTTCAAGATTCTAAATAGAGTTTCTTACAAACTCTAAAGTGTGTGTGTGCTTACATATATACATAGAGACACATACCTCTAAAGTGTTTTTTTCCCATTAGTGAAAAAGCAAAGTAAAATGAAAAAATGAAAATCTCACTTATATCACTCGTCATATGAACTATGGAATCATGCAAATTCCAAGGTCCTCTCAGAACTGGTAGTCAGGCTATGATAGCTTGGGCTGTGCCATATAGTTGTGCAGATTATACACTGGACAATTCTAAGGGGCGCAACCGTATCCTACCTCTGAGGCTGGTCCTCTCCGGGGTTGTGCAGTGCACACCCTGCATAGCTGTATGTGATGACCTTGAAATTAGCTAAGACAATACTGTTCGCCCATCCATTACTTATTCGCGCATCCTTCCCCCTGGTGAGCTATGAAAAAGAGATGTTTGAGGAAGAAAGTGGTCTTTAAATCTATATCCTTTTTTAAAGAAAGAAAATGCTGCCAACAAACAAAAAACAACAGCAACAATAAGGACAGTTTCTCCCTGGCTTCCCTGGGTCACAATGGTAAGAGTTTCCTCCCTCCAGCCTCCCCCTCCATCCACCTACAAGAGCGCAGCAGGGTACCTTGCGTAAGTAACTGTAGGTTTCTGACTTCTTCTCGCACCTTCAGCTGGAGCACCTGTTGCAAGATGTGCTGCCGCAGGTTTTCCTGAGCAATCCCCATTCGCTCAAGCTTTTTGTCAGTGAGTCTCAGCAAGGCTCGCCCTGCAGGGTTTCAAGAAATGAAAGGAAAAGCAAATGAACAAGGGCTGGAGGAGGATTCCCATCTTAGCCTTGGCTAATTCTGTCATACGAGAAGTTTCTGTCTAAACAGACACTTTAGGATTCAGGATCCCCCATTAGTAATAGTAATGGATAATCTGGGTGAAACAAAGACCCCACAGATTAGAAAAAGAGAAGACAAATTTTTATCTAATATTGGCAATCCCCAACTGACCCACACACCGACTTCAATAAAAACAGTGAAATTTTAACCTGGATATTTGGGTCACAGATTGCAGGTTTCCATAGAAACAATGCTCTTCCTTAGGTGATGGGTTCTGAGGCTGGCCCATGTCCCTGACAACTCAGTTGAAGACCTGGGTACTCTAACTGTGCTTAGAGAAACTCCAATGCCATTTAACCCAGGCTACAACGTTTCTGTGAAGTAGGCATTTGAAGTTCCAGTTGTAATCTGCAGCATGAACTCCCCTGCTGCACGCCTGGACCTGGGTTCCACCTCCAGCTGCTGGGTGCTCAGGCTTCCTCTGATCACTGGCCTAAGGCAAGGGGTCCAGCAGCGGTGAGGGCGAGCACCTGCAGGCTACAAACTGGGAGCCTCGGGGGGTGAGCGTCTGCAGTGTGCAGACACCCTGGGCCCTAGAGAGCCTGGAGTGGCTTCCTTTCAGCCCCTTCCCTTCCCTGGAAGATCTGCATGCCTCTCTTGTTACTATGGTTCCCATGAGATTTCCAAATTCTCCCCTCTCAATGCTTGCCTTGACATAAGCATACTTCCACTGTGAGGCCGAGCACAAGAAATACTGAGAATGATTGTTGTTAAAGGCCCACAGCACCATCCTGTGCTCTCGTTTCCAGCCCTACCCCCATCCTTATGCTGTGGATCTTTTCTTGATTGATGAAAAACACACAGAGGCCACTACGTGTGATCAATGGTAAGTCTTTGGGTATAAGAGCACATACACTTCAGGAGATAAATGGTCTACCTCCTCAAATAAGGAACCCGGTAGAGAGAAGGTGGGGTTAATGGGTGCACTGAGAATCCTGTGGGCAAAATCTGTCACTATTTTCCTTGGATGGCTTCTACAGTGCCACCCAAGTCCTGATTTCTGAAAAAAATATTTACAGTAATTAGATCATTTCCAGGAGCAAATGTCCTACCGACCTCCTATCCCACCCCCTCCTACTGACCACAAAATAAGAGTGTCCCAGTAAGTGTAGTGTTGCTTTTGGGGCAGGTATCAGGAGAGTGATAAGTGGTCAACCATCATTTGCATCCTTATTTTGGAATTTATATTGTTACTTTTTGTTGTTTATCATAGAAACCCAACTGCTCATTCAACAAACATTTATGGAGCACTTACTATGTCTTAGGTTTATTCAGTGTGCTCTGCAGGTAGCTGCCTACACAGGAAGGAATCAAGGAGGGAAAAATCAACTCAATCTCAAAAAAGCAGCACCACCTGCATTTCCTGAGACCCTACATCAGGAGATCTAGGCTGCTGGGCCATGCATAGACACCTAGATCTTTAGAGATGAAAGCAGCATAAAGTCCTTCACATGGACTGTGCTCCTAGCCATTTCTTTCTTTCCTTTTTCAAGTGCTTATTGGAGCACCACGAAATGCCTGCCACTGTTCTGGGTGCTGGGATTATGGAGAGAAGTAGTATCTTCCATCTCCACCAAGTTTACCATTTAGTTTGAGAGACAGGCAATATACAAATAAACAGATACATGGGGCAAACAGGGACCCCTACTGGCAGGATGGATCTATTAGAGTTTGGGTGGTTAGAAAAGGCCTCTCTGAAGAGGTAACACTTGAACATCTACAAGTGTCAAGCCAATTAGAGAAATGGCAGGAAGGCTAGTGTCACTGAGCAGAGCAGGCAGGATAAGAGAATGACAAGAAATGAGATTTGAAAGATGGCAGAGCCAGATCAGACAGGGCCTCCTGGGTCTTGGTGAAGCATTTTGATTTTATTCTTTTTTTAAAAAATATTTTGTTTATTTATTTTTAGAGAGAGGGGAAGGGAGAGACAGAGGGAAAGAAATGTCAATGTGTGGTTGCCTCTCACTCACTCCCTACTGGGGAGTTGGCCCACAACCCAGGCATGTGCCCTGACTGGGAATCAAACCAGCAACCCTTTGGTTCATAGGCTGGCACTGAATCCACTGAGCCATACCAACCAGGGCTGGTTTTATTCTGAAGGTGGAAAGGTTTGTGCAAGGGATGACTTGGGCATGATCCCCATGTACTGGAAGATTCTCCATGCTCACTATATGGAGGATGGGTTAGGGGTCGGGAGGGAAGGGTAGGAGCAATGAGAAGAGTCAGCAAACTGCCGGGGTCATCAAAGCAGGAAGTGACGGTGCCCTGGACATGGGTGGAGGCGAGGAAGTGGAAAGGAGTAGTGGGATCCTGGACATATTCTGAATGACTTCGCAATGCCTAGAAGTGGGCTGTGAAGGAAAACAGACATCAGCGATGACTCAGGTTTTGCACTTGAGTCCCCAATAGCAGGGGGCACCATTTTAGTGCAGAAGTGGAGTTGCTGCTCCTAGGGAGGATGAGTTGGGTCGAGGAAATCACATTAATGTTATTGCTGTTTTTTTTTTTTCTTTTGCAAGCACTGGGGATCTGGAGAAGTAATGAAAAGGATAGAAATCAACAAAGGAGGACAGTTAGAATATTTTACTTTCTTCCTCATAGTGCTTTCGTTCCTTCGACATGCTCTTCAAAGCCCAGAGTTCTCAGTTGACTGGAGGGGTGAGGTGATGAGCATAGGCATATCCTGGTGGAATTTAGAGAAATAAGAGGACCCTTATGACCCAAGCTCTGTATTGCTTTGCCCCAAGAACTGTCTTCAGTACTAAAAATACTTCCCAGGACCCCTTGTAGAAGTTCCAGCCAGGGACTATCCTGTGAGAAAGTTCACCCAGCAGGCACATGGATCTGGTGGTCTGCTAACAATCTTGGAAAATTAAAGTTTTTCTGCAACGGAAGCTTGAGTGCATACATAAAACCTTTATTGTGTGTGGCACGACAATGCCAGCTCCATTAGAATAAATATTTTTCCTGTCAGGTTCCCTATTCTTGTCACAGGTTTCGTATTATTGCCTATGTGCTGGTACATAGTAATGCTTAAGAAATATCTATTGACTGAATACGCTTGAAGCTACAATGAATGTTGTCTTCATTACTCACATACTGATGATCTCAAGGTCATTATATTATTGTCTTCTCTGATGTAAGACACTTGATTGGAAGCTGACTCTCAGATAGGACAATGGCAATGAGGAATTGAATGCAGCAGATGGGAAGGCTGCATTTCATAGGTGGCAACCACGGAAACACAGGCCAAGGGAAAGAAATCGAGAACTTGAGATGAGAGGAGTACTTCCCCTTCCTGCAGGCCTAAAGACAGACAAGTGTCTCATTCAGTTTCTGAACAGGCACCAAGTGGGACTACCAGCCTTGCTGGAGGGATGGGCGGCAAGAATGGGTGAAAGACCATTGACTCAGAGAGGAGTGGATTTGTTCCCTACAGTTACCATAACAAATCACAACACAGGGAGGCTTAAAACAACAGAAATTTATTCCATAGCATCCTAGAAGCCAGGGCTCAACTTCACTGGGCTGTAGTTGAGGTGTCGGCTGGGCTCCTGCACTTCCTCTGGAGGCTGCAGGGAACATTCCCTCCTGAAAACGTCCAGCTTCTCGAGGCTGCCACACTCCTTTGTGACTATGTCACTTTAATCTCTGCCTGTGTCTCCGTGTCACCTTCCCACGCTCACACGCATGCGTGTGTAATCTCACCCTGCCTCTCTTGTAAAGACACTTGGGATTTGATTTAGGGCTCACTTAAATAATCCAGGGTAATCTCCTCATATGAAGACCCTTAACTCCATCAAAACTACAAAGACCCCTTTTCCTTATAGGGTAATGTTTACAGGTTCAGAGATTAGGATCTGGTATCTCTGGGTGGCCCTTGTTCAGTCTGCAATGAAGAACTGAATGTAGGAATTGAGGAACTGAAGATAGAAGCTGGAGGGAACCTCAGAGATTCCTGAGTCTGGCACAAGATTCCTGGTGGACACATGGAGAGCTGAGGTTCAGGGAAAGTGACTTTCTAAAACCATGCAAGAAATGGGGGCAAGATTTAGGTTTCAAAATGTATCTCCAAACTTCAGGCCCAGTAGGGTCTTTGGTCTTTAGTTCAGGTGCCCACCCCCTACCCCCACCTATTCTGCTCAGAGCATAGTCACAAAAGCCCTGTCACAGCCTTTCAAGATGAAAGAGCACATGCCATAAAGCTCAGTCAGAAATTTCAGGGTTAGCTGGAGGCCGTGCCTTCAGCCCGTACATACGGGGAAGTCTTGGTCCCACTGCAAGTGGTTGGGAGTCCACCTTTCCCAGAGAAGTGGCTGAATTCCATACAGGGCCTCTTTTCTGCTAGGAAGAGAGGTCACCGTACAGTTCCCCAAACCTTGGCTACTTGTTTTCTGGGTTAGCTCCAAAGCTGCTCTCAGGTAAAGGCCAGCATCCTGCTTCCTTCCTGGCTGGGCAAGAAAAACAGAGTGGCGGGTGCCGGCCATATAACCAGTTTCCTACCGCCTGAACCTGCGTTTCTTCATCTCATCGTTATTCCAAAATTAGAATTTCTGGAACAAAGAAATAAGGAGAGACGTAATCGCAAAAGCATGAGCTCAGGAGCTAAAAGGTAGACATGCATGCCCAGAAAAGCACCTCTGAGTCTTAATTTTCTCATCTCTACAATGGGGATGAAAATGACACTATTGCACAGGGTGACTGTGAGGATCAAATGACGTAACGCACATGCCCTTAGCATACTGGAGTCACTAAGAGGATGTGGTTTGGGTTGTACCATTCTTTGGATGGCTGAGAGTGTTTCTTCCTCTTCCTCCTCCTCCTTTAACCCTCATCATCATCACCGTAACAGTGATTATAATAGCAAACATTTATTAAA